ATGTACTTGCAATGCCGAGAATATCTGCCCCCCGAGTGACCCCATTTATGGTCACTTTCTAAGACCGTCGAATTTTTAGTACATAGCAGTGAAGTTTGCTCCCACTGGAGCAACACCTCTCCGACGGAAGTTGTTGTTGCAGTAATTTTTTAGCAGGTTAGTTTTTACGCTAGACCCGCGTCCTTTCTCATCCTGGACTTTGGACCAGGCAATGGTACTGGCATCCCTGCCGGGGAACGAACCCGGTACCTTTTGATTAGAAATCCAACGCGCTATCCACTGCGCTATAGGGACACTAATATTATAGTTAGTGTACAATAACCTGTTAAAACACGATAATTCCCTGGATGCAGTCTCTGGTGCCGGGCCCGTAACACCCGCAAACAAACAAACCTCAACGCAACAAACGCAAGATGAAACAAGCTTACTTCCATATTAATTAATCCGTGTAACGTCTAACGACCACAAACACTCACGAGTTCAGGGGTAACTACAAATATATAACTAATTAAAAAAAAACCTGAAGAATTCTCTGCACCCCTTGTAACTGGCACGTCGAAACAATGATTATGAATAGAACAACCATGACAACTTTTAAAATTATTGTTTGCATAAAACACACAAAGTTGTCATTTGTACGTGAAGTATTCTGTGTATGTAGTTCTCTATCCATCAAAAGAGTTACAAGGTGATAGGTTGTTACCAAAAGGTTTAGTAAAATTTGGTGTTAAGTGCACTTTATAAAATGCGTGTAACAGTCAGTCACCTAACCAGTTCGTCATGTGTCATATAGTTTAATACTAATAATTCTATTATCATATAATAAGTTCAAATAATTTTGTTGGTGCTACAAATAACAAAGGTACCCGCACCAAGCGTAGCATTTAGTTCGTTGGTGAGACGGTGTGCGTGCGTATCGTTCGCCACGTAACTCTACTGAATAATGAGTGGCATACATGTTTCTAGGAATTCCCCTCTACTCTCCAATTTGTTCATATTCGTGTAACTAATTTTCAGCATACTATCTAAGTTCTGTGTCCTGAAAATATTTTCATGGCGATCAGAGTTTTGGAACTGTTATTTTGTTTTAGTGCAAAAGCTACACAATAGCCTAACTGCGTTTTATCCATCATGGGAGTCTAACCCCGGATTTTAGCGTTGTAAGTCCGTAAACTTATCGATAACTCATTGGAGGACCAAAGTATGATGAGTAGACACTAATGGCTGTAATCCCCGTAAAATGAGAAAATGAATAAAGTAAGGGGTTTTAGCATTCTCCTGGTAGGTACTCAAGAATGCCTGAAAGTTCCATGGTGATCCGAGGTTCGAAAATTTTGTCACGGACGGATAGAGATATTAATACAAGCCGCTTTAGGGTTTGTTTGGTTGATTTTGAATTTCGCACAAAGCTACATGAGGGCTATCTGCGCTAGCCGTCCCTAATTTAGCGGTGTAAGACTAGAGGGAAGGCAGCTAGTCATCACCACCCACCGCCAACTCTTGGGCTACTCTTTTACCATCGAATAGTGGGATTGACCGTCACATTATGATGCCCCAACGGCTGAAAGGGCGAGCATGTTTGGTGTGACGGGGATTCGAACCTGCGACCTACAGATTGCGAGTCGAGTGCCCTAACCACCTGGCCATGCCGGGCCCGCTTTAGGGTATAGAAAATCGAATAAACAATTGTTAAATTTGAAAAACAAATATTATCTTTAGAAAAAAAAAGGTAACCCATTAGGTAATGAACAAACTTACCTTTTTCATCCACTCTCTTTTACTGATATTCACTTTTCCCGCCGATTTTAATTCTTCGAACACGGGAATACCAGGGACTCGCCAGAAATAAAATCTAGAAATAATCTTCTCCACAGGGTCTCGCATCGAGTTAATATAAATAGGATTAGGATAGTAGAAACTAAAGTGTGTGGTAAAAGAAACAGTCAAAATATACTTACTATTATTTTAATTTTGTCTTAGGTTTTGACGAATAATACGGCAAACGTAATAAACGCGAATTAATAATCTAAAATATATTTCTAAATATATATATTTTTAATTCTATAAGATATACAAACTTTAATAAACTCGGATTTTTTTTTCTAAATACATTTCGTTTAAAACTATCCTGAAGTTTTTTTGTTTTTTTTTACATATACAGCAAAACTGGACTATTCTCCAGAATGTAGTAATAATAGCAGCATCAAATCGTAATTACAAGATTTCAAACGTACTGAACCAAGTTAATTAGTATATCACAAGGACTCTATAATAACAATGTAAAATCAAAATGTTTAATACACACAATCAAGTTTAACTTGCACATCGTCATGATTCTATAAATAATGACAACTTGAGATAATAATTATAAGATTTTAAGACTCAAGCTCCAAATGAACTAAGAGTGATTTATATTCCCTTTGGATGCTGTAATGGCAATAACGTAAGTAGAAGATGTTAACACTTAGGCGCTACTGAGCGTTTTATTTGTCCTCCCCTAGAATAAAGTAATGGTAATACACTGTAAGACAATAGTGATATGCCAAAACGTAAAAATGGCAAAATGTACTCTGATGGAATTAAGTATGGTAACATCCAAATGTTAAACATATAAATATCATAAACAATGAATTACAGTGGATTTATTAAAATAACAATATCATTGAAAACGCAAAAGAAAAGCAAGGACATTGTACAGGTGCACAAAGGACTAGTATTTTGTAAGTATGCTCTACACTTTACACAGATCATTATACAGTTTATCAATGTACGATTGTGGTATATTGTTGTATATCCTCTGTAACGTTGCTCATAATTCAACCAGGTCAGAAGGTCGCCTTCTGACCTTCTCAGTTTTTACGTGTGCTCATACAGCCCAAGAATGTTGATCTCGGGATTTTGAGCAGGCCAGGCCGTGGTTGTGAATCTTCTGTTGGCTTATTTACCATTAATATATCGTGTCAACGTAGTTGCTGTATGCTTAGGCTCATTGTCTTCTGGAAGATGAATACACACCCAATTATTCACATTCCTAAGGGAATTCCATGATGATCAGAACCTGATTGTTCCTGTCAACAGTCAGGGTGCCATCAATTTTGTGTTCACCACCGCCTTTCATTGGAGATGTTATACATTGATTATGATACATCGAACAGACTGCTTTTCCTTGTTGTTGAACAATAACAACTTGAACTCATTTGTAAAGAGTACACGTCTCCAGAGTTTCTGTTTGTGGGATGAAATACCTTTTTTCAACAACAGTTTTCATGCAGCTACACGATCATTGAGACTATTTCATTCCAATGTAGATCTTACTGCTCTTGAGGTAACATTCATACTTGTATTTACAGAAAGATCGTAAAGAACATACCCCAATACTTAACATCATGTTTGGAAAGTTTCATTTTTCTACCATTATTAACAGTGCCAGTTTCAAGCATATTCTTCAGACTTTTATTACAACTTTTACCGAAAAAAAGGAGTCTTGCCTCAATTTTTTTTCACGTGGATTACGTTTAACCAACCAAGACTTTGATTTCCACATACTTGTCATAAAGTACTTCAGTCCTGGCAACCATTACTGTAATTACGCCACTACTACTGGGAATAACATGAGTGTATGTAATTTCATTGGTTTTATGCTGGCGTGGTATTTCCTGATTGGTTGGAATACAACTAATCACTGTATAAACTATCAACATGTGACTGTACTCGGTTGCAGTTAATTTTCACAAGTATTTGCCTTTTATAATACTTTTCTCACCGTTTCCATAATCATTAACACTACTGTATATAGCAGCACAATAAATGATCTTTGGAATATATTAAGTAACTGTGACGTAATTAGATTGGTTTGTTTAGAATTTCGCGCAAAACAACACGAGGGCTATCTGCGCTAGCCGTTCCTAATTTAGCAGTGTAAGACTAGAGGGAAGGCAGCTAGTCATCACTGGCTACTCTTTTACCAACGAATAATGGGATTGACAGTCACATTATACCGCCACCACGACTGAAAAGGGCAAGCACGTTTGGTGGCACGGGAATTCGAACCCGCGACCCTCAGTCGAGACAAGCGCCCTAACCACCTGGCCATGTCGGGCCAAAGTAAAGGGGAAACTTATCTATTCGGTTTGTTTAGCAGCTGTATATCTTCACTTGTAAGATTATTGACACAAAATATGTTCCCCCCAACTATTTGGTCTCAGTCAGCGTTTTTTAAACTGGGGTAGGCAAGATCATAAAAAAAGTAAACGATTTCAGCTTATAATAGAATTGTAGATTACAACATAAACTTGTGTTTTGATTGGACAACCATAATGCATTATTCATGTATAAAATCATTCGTTTTTGTTGCTATTTTAAATTCGCAAATTATTTAAATAGTAACGCTCTTGTTTGTTAATTTGAATCCAAATAAAGTTGTGTAAAAATGGCCTCACTCTTCTCTGTATAAGATATTCTTACCACATAAGAAAAATGCAACCATTTCTCTGAATTTGATCATTGTTATTAGGGTTACAGTTGTGTATTTTAAGACAAATGTTTGCTTTTAATATCATTTCAGTCTGTCTATGTTCATTTTTACTATAGGTTTAAAGTGGTATATGTTTAGACTAGGGATGCACGGGTAGTAAAGTCTGGCCGAATAATGGGTCCGGATTCCCCCCCCCCCCAAAGACATACACAAAAATTAGAAAAAGAAAAATTGACGTTTATTTACATTTAACCGTATAATCACCAATAGAACATTCCATTATTTTACTTTCAACTTTCAAAATTAACTAATGAAAATGTGCACACCAGTTTACAGAATGCCTGTATTTTTGGAATTTGTTTAAATTGTACTTGAGAAACAGTAGCATTTCGGCGTTTTCGGGTAAAAGCCTTGACCTTGCGTGTGTGATAATGTTGGCAGCGGCGCTAAAAGCCCGTTCGCTGTCTACACTGGTCGGAGATCCGGAGAGATAACGCTTTGCTATCCTGGCCAGTGTGGGAAATCGAGCTTCATTTGACTTCCAAAAGTGAGAACAGTGAAAGTAAACGGAGAAACAGTGATGTTGACATGTTTTAGAATCATTGTTCCGATTAATGCCTAGCCCCAATTTCTCAAACCCTAACCCCTATTGTTCTCAAATCCCCCATCTTCCCCAGAAATCCACTTCTCAAGCCATGCCTGTTATTAACCCCTATTGTTCTCCGAATCCCCAATTTTCAGCGGGCGGTCAGTCTTTGCTGCTCGGAACCCGTTTTTTAAACTAAACCAATTATTGACTGTAACTTTCAATATCGCGTAAGTTGCCACAAAGATTAGGGCTTAGATCCCATTTTCAATTACCCAGATTCGGCTGTTTTTAACTTTGACACCCGACCGGAGCAGAGTATTACCGGGTAGCTCAATAACCGGCCGGGTACCCGTGCATCCATAGTTTAGACACATTTCTATTATTAATATTTCAGTGTGTCTGTTCATTTTTACTACAGGTTTAAAGTTGTATATATTTAGACACATTTCTATTATTAATATTTCAGTGTGTCTGTTCATT